ATTGGACATGTTGGTGGGGGGGGTACCCCTCGGTCTCATTTCTTGCTGGGTATATTCCCACGAGGCTTATTGGCAGGCAAACTGCAGTTTGAAAGAAACAGCAGGGCACTGTACACTCCTGTGGAGTTGTTATTCCCTCGTGCGGTCACAAAAATGGACAGGACAACATTTGCCTCCGTTAATTTGGACATTGAAACGGACACTGATTTTTCTTTCGAAACAGAATTCACTCGCTGGTTTAATCCAGCAAACTGCCTCCAGATCGACAGTGGTGAAGAACGGGTTTTGGAATTCTCAAGGCATGACAAAAATATGAAAAGCATAACGGGAACACTGCGTAAACGATGGTAACACGTGGGTCCCCTTTATTGGTTTATGTGAAAACTGCGCATTACCAAAACGACTGGGCCGTTTATATGTAATTACTGTGTCTACCACCATGCAAGCGACAACGCCACGTCATGACTGCCTGAAAGTGGACCGTACAGTACATGTATGTATCCATGTTACATGATGGACGTACATGTACAGAACAGGAACATACATGTATCACATGTCATGCATGTACATGTACGCCTCACACAACCGTCTGTGTAGGCAATCAAGGCCCACTGACCAATTGAGGCAGATGCTATTGTGCATACAATTGCCCTCAACACGGCCGGGCCCATCACATCTACAGTTACCAATAGCTACATGTACAGCGTACAACATTCGTGTCAGGTGCGCCATCCCAGATGCCGATACATGTGCCTCGCATTCACAACACGGATCTGCGGTCGGCCTCCTGCTGATTGTATCTACAATGCCAATCCACTGGGGGCATTTATAATGGGGCACCCACAGGCAAAGGGGAAAGTCAGTTACATATATGCACATGACTTACCTGTACATGTACACTGTTCATGTACCGGTATGCACAATTTCAGATCTCATAGCCCGCTACAACATTGTACAGGTGCTTCAGCATATAGGCCCATTTTTGCAGATTTTCGTCGCACAAGAAGCTGACTGGAAATGTACACGCTACACGTCCAGGAGTATCTCCAGCCACGATTTAGCAAAATTTAAGAGACGAACAATACTTCTTGCCCTGTTGAAAATTTCTGTTCCTTTTAAAATTTTTTAATGAGTAATTTGCTTTTTGATTCTTAGTAAGATTTCTGACGCTTTTCTTCCTTCCTTTTCATGAATTTTGCATTCAAATATTCAAATTTGGAAAATAATATTCAAATATTCGATAATCGATTGATCAATTATTGATCAATGTACAGTGCACGTGTAGCACAAAAAGGCACATGCTGTGAGGCACTCTGGGTAATTCCATAAATTACGGCTCCATTTTTTTCGTGTCCCTGTCACATCTGACATATGATTTTTGTAAGCTCAGAACACATTATCTAATTTCCAAGAGTGATGAATTAATAATGCAAATGACCTGCCAAACAAATAGTGATAGTTTGAAATCAATACCGGTGATATTTCCAAGTCAAATCACAAAGGTCAGATGTAACAGGGACACAAAAATGTCACCCTTTGGGACCCCTAATTTCTGGAATTACCCTTGTATGTAAAACTTCTCAGGTTACGGAGTATTTCCACAGAAGCTGGTCGCATTCCTGAACAAACTAACCCTGGCAGTCTGTAAACAGTCAGGTGCATGATGGCAAGTGCCATGCATAATACATGTATGTGTGCCGATTAGGACATCCATTAAAATGCAAGAAAAGTGCAAGCTCTCCAATTGCGAGGTTGACCTATATACATTGTGCCTTTGGTATATCAGTAATGTACCCCGTACGTGTCCATGAACTGTATAATTTTAAATTTTTTTGGGGGGGGGGATTAACCTTTTACAGTCTCAGACATTCGCTCTTCAAAGGCAGAGTTTTGGAGGAATACATAAATTGGTCGTTTCTTGATTGATTGGGGCAGAATTGTGTCAACTGTACATGTATGTACATGTACATGTGTGAATCCGTGAATGAAGTCCGTGCTCCATATACCGGTGGCTTCGTCCACACACCGTTACCCCTTTCTGGAAAAACCGTTTTAGAGGCATTTTGCAGAAGAAAGAGGATGAATAGAAAAGAAAACCATCAACAAAAACCCAGCTTTAAAGAAAAAGGAGAAACACCTGCACCATTTGATTTCTCTACACAAAAACAAAGGCTAAGAAAAATGGAGGGTAGAAGGCACGTGTAACTTATGAATTTTGAAGAAGCAAAAACTGCCTGTCCGAAATTGTTTGTGCCTGCCTCAAGATGGGTGAACAAGATGAACCACTGCGCACAGTCACGTACCGGTACAAGTATGCACTGTACATCACCACATGCTGGTACATCCACCCCCATGTACCTACTGTACTATCCAAGGTTTATCATATTAGACGGCCTTTGGAGGTGCAAACGTAATGATAGTGTGCACATAGTCAGCCACAATTGCATTACACAACGTGTTCCTCTTGAGATAAAATACAATCCGATTTCAGTGCAGGTCTGTACAGCATGCATGTACATGTATGTTTACCTGCATGCATTCATTCATATGCATTATACAAGTATATGTACATGTACATGTACTGTATGCACAGGGTACTGTAGAATACATGACCTTGTTGGTTGAATACCGTACATGGACTTCAATTGTCAAAACTGAAAAGACTGATACACATTGTTTACAAGTACATGTACATGCTGGCTGCATGCAAGGACGAATCCAGACCCAAATTTTTGGGGTGGGGTGTCAAACTTGTGTTTTTTTTGGGGGGGGGGGGACAGGGGCCAAAAGGTGGACATTTTCTCATGTGCCAGTAACCTTTTGTGAGGGGCGAAACTTCATCTTGGGGCTTTTTTCATGATTTTTGAAGGGCGGAAAATGAAACCAACAGACCAAAATATTTTCATTTCTCTCATTAAAAACAAAACAAAACAAAACAAATTGCCTCTTTTTCTAAAAGGAGCAGGTCTCCTCCTCCTCCTTCCCAGGGTCCGCCCTTGGGTGCATAGGCTACAATTCTTGGAAACACATGCACGGTACTTTTATTATTATTATTAGTTTATTCAGAAATCAATCAACTAAGCAACAATCGTACACAGAGAAAACAAGATACGGTTGATTCATTTTGGGATAACCCAAGAAAGCCAATTACATAGGCTTATTTCCATTGGGGTCCCACAAATTCACAAAATTACACATATATATACAGAACCAAAACATGAAAAAAAACAGTAAATTATCAGTCCAAGTTCCCATTACTAATTACAATCATCTTTGAGACTCCATACTGGTTAAAAATCGGAATAATCAAATCCAAGAAAAACATTATACTGAAGTCACTCCCTCCCCATTTAAAATCCGTACTTGGACTCCTCTACATTCAATGTACATAGAGTTTTAAGTCCATGTACATCTGATGGAGTGTTAACCTCATACCTACTAGTAATGTGAGTACATGTACTTTCTAAGTACAGGGTAAGTGCATACCATGTTCCAACTAAACTTACCCCATACCAGGTGCCATCCTACAGACCTGGGAGAACCAGTACATGTAGGTGGAGTAAGTTGGAACTAATGACATGGTCATTAATTACACGTTCATCATAACCATCAATAAGTCTAGGATTTTTACCATGTTTACGGGCTGCATTTGCAACACACACATACATGTACATGTGCACGTACATGTACATGTATGTACATCCCTGTAGGTTTCTGGCATCAAATCTGCATGGCATTTTTGTGAAAATACAATTTCCCTACACCCTACTCGTACATGTACATGTACACTGTATACAACCTCATACAACCGCATTCTACATGTATTTGGGCGTATTATTTACGAGGCATTCTTCAAGACATGAACATGGTGACACAGAGGAATATTTACATGACCTGTACCAAACACAAATCCCGTACAAATGCTACGAAAATGAAAACAAGAAAAAAAATCCCTCAATATCTGTAACCTGTAGGCTTTCCTTTCCAAAGTGCTGGGCTAAAAACACACAGCGTGTATTCAACACTGTTCTAAGTACATGTACACTTAAAGCTGCTGCAATGGTCTCCTTTTGCTGTCGCTTCATAAAGCATAACTTGTACAGGGCTTAGGCCTAGGTGTTTAATGACATGAATTATTAAACAGTACACCTGTACATCATACATTCAGAGGCTTCTATTGTTTGGACCACCATGAGTCTCAAGATTTATCATCACCTGCAGTAGACTAGCATGCAGTACATAGTAGGCTAGTAGTGGTTGGTACATCATGTACGTTACACGTACATGTACATAGCCTAGACCCCTACTGTATGAAGTTTTTTGTGCTGCCTGACATGTCTGAAAAACCACCAACACGGACCCCAAAGTCCCAAAGGCACTACTTCAAATAAATCAAATGTACAATTACATGTAACTTCCCCTTTTCCCATTTACAGGTGATGGACAGTGTGTGGAAATGACCTTGTCCTCAGCAGCAAAGATACTGGTATGGTCAGCATGGTCAGGTGTGGTGAAATTTGTTGTCAAGTCGACAATGACATAGGCCTTGTACATGTAATGATGTATGTACGTGGCCAGATACGAAACTCTTAATAAGAGTCTTATTCTTAACGACATCCACGTTTCACTGAAGTTCAAAACAGTAGTAGGCCTACCATGCCTACTCTACTGTCAATGTCATTGACTCGCTCAGCGACGGCGTGCTCGATCCATAAACAAAGTGCTTCATTTATTTATCTAGCACTACCGACCAGCGACTTGAAGTCAGTGAAACGTGACTGTTCCTTCCTCCATGGTCTGATCACTCGACGACAGGTTAAGAGAACCAATTTTCTACATTACCTTTTTGTTCAGACATTTTCCAGCGTCTACCTTTTCCTGACCATAAAGGACTGAACGGGTTTGCAAGACGAGAAAAAATCAATGATTTGCAGCGTTCAACTTGAACGACGAAGCCACTCCAAGCGAGGGAACGGCGTCTGTATAATTGTCAGATTTCTGCATTAATCCAATACCGGTAGCGGCGCCTAAGTGTGCTATTCTTGTTTTCAGTGTTCACCTTGAGGTGACGACAATGTATCAATAAAAAGTGGGCGCTCTCAAACTGCGGGATTGGGCGATTCGGTTTTTTGTCAATAGAGGGCGCAATATTAATAAACGTAAATATTTCTTCTCACAGGAGCATGCAATGCACCAACCAATGCCGATCATTTCTTACACTAATCAGATACGTTTCACCATTTCAGATTCTGACGACTAAAACGAGGCGGATTGCGGGGAGGGGGCCCAAGCATTATCATCGTGGCCTGCAGCTTTTAAACGAGATGTTTGGACGTGATTGTACCAACAAGACGATGCCGATCATTTCGCCGACAGCTATGATCGAAAACTGGTGGCTGTGGTACTGCCGAGATACCTAGTGGGGGCCTATACGCGCACCCATGCACTGGGCCAATCACATTTTTCAATCGAGGTTACCCCCAATCTTGGTGGGGGCTTCATGCATGGGTCTATTCCTGGATGCCTCGTGATGGTCTGACGAGTACTCCCCCTCCCCATTTGAAAATATTCTGCCGCAGTGCCACTAAAGCGTGCATGGAGGAGAAATTCTTCAATCATGTGTACATGTACATCATTTTAAGGAACAGTAGAGAAGCAGAACTTTCACCGCACTTTTGTGGAGCATTTCTGGATTTTTTTCTTTCAGTCATTGCGGCCGCGGCCTTGTCGGAAAAGTACGTTACGTCACGACTAGTGCAATAGTCTTACACCACAGTTGTTTTATTAATTTTTTCTCTTCCTAACTCCATCACATATTGTGTAGAAGCGAAACCGTCAAGAACACAGGAAAAGAATGGAGGCATACGCACATAAGCTACTTAACTTATTATTGTATGGTTAAAGTTAATACGGGCGATTCACATCAGTGCGCCTCCAAGAGTTTGCAATGCAACACGTTGACCAATCACGGTTCGTGAAATCTGTCGACTATTGACAAACGCACACTGGGTCGACAGAAGTCGCGCACTGTGATAGGTCAACGCGCTGCAAACTCTTGGAGGCGCACTGTTGTGAAACGCCCGTATTAATCTAGCTGCACAGTAAAAACAATATCTCAAACAACTTATCTTATTTGCAACTTCGTGGTTGGCTGATACACATTAAAATTGGTACTCCTATAATGGCAAACTACTAGAAAACTGAAATGTTAGAATTCAAGCTATGGGGGCAACAGTGGAAAACAAAATCAAAACGGGGAGGAGTTTGCATGAGACTGTAAATTATTCAGTTATTCCCCACAAGTTCAAGGAATGTAAACCAGGTTTGTGTAGCCGATAGTAATTAGGATAAGAAGCCCAATGGAGGACTGGGGACGAATTCGGAGCATTTTCTTTTTAAAGAAACAGTCTCAGTGATAAAGGATGATTAATTAAAATATTGAATAAATCTACTATTATACAAAATAAATCTGCAAAGAAACCATTCCCGAGGGCATTATTGCCGCATGGAATGAATTGATACCGAAAACAACAACAACAACAACAACAACAACAACAACAACAACAACAACAACAACAAAATCTTTGACAAAGGGACACAGCACCTTCGAATAAAACAATAAACATCAACACTATCTTTGATTTACGATGTTCGTAAGTACACTGGTGTTAGGCAGGAAACAAAACGAGGGCGCAAGAGTTCAGTCTTTCCATAGAAACCCGTCATTTCCCGTCAGCTTGGCTAGGGCCTTATTTGACGGTGCGTAGAGTTCCTCGAGTAATTTCTTGGTCGACGGCAGCATGGGATTCCTCTTCTTCCGGCCGGAAGCCGACCTCAAGACGTTCTCTCTCCCGATGGTGATCTTCAAGGTGTCAATCGTCAGGATGTCTTTCATTTCTTCCTGGGTGACGTCTGGAAAAGAGACAACCGTGCAGCCGTGATAACTATCGCTCGTTTAATAATGCGCAGGCGCGTGAAAACTTCTTAATTAAATGCAGTGTCACTGAGGAAGGATGGCATTTCATGATAAAAGAGGAATTGAATCAAAACCCTTCTTACAAAACCAAATGAACAGTCAGAAACAACATGTGGAAATGTATCTCAAAAAAGCCAAAATATAGGGCTATGCCAAATATCCAAATAACCGAATTGTCAAAATTTGAATGTTATTTTTCGAATTTGAATATTCGAATGCAAAACTCATGAAAAGGAAGGGGAAATTTTCTTTTGTTTTAAATGAGAAAAACTGCACTCTGGAGACTTGTTTCAAGCAGACTAATGAAAAGTGTCAGAAATCTTACAACAATTAAAAAAGTAAATTATTCAATAAACATTTAAAAGGAATAGAAATTTTCAACAAGGCCAGAAGTCTTGTTCATCTCTTAATCTTGCTACATCGTGGCTGGAGATACTCCTATATGTGAGAAGCTACTATATTGATCATACTGTACAATTATTTTGTGTGTTATTGCAATTAAAATTTGTTCATCAACAATCTGCCTGTCGGTGCGACTGAAAATTCAGATATTCGATCAAATTGAAGATCGAATATTCGAATAGTGAATTATTCGAATTGACTCAGCCCTAAAAAAAAACACCAAAAATCGCTAGAGAAATGCCTTAATTGTATAAAGCTTACCGATATCAAGAAAATGGTAGGTTTTGAGCAGCATGTCTGGCTTCTGGCCTTGAAACCAGTCGTCACTCCGCAGAAACAGAACTTGATCAAGAGGGAAACGCTTCAACCAGTCTTGAACGTAGATGTAATAGAGGCCAACTAGTACGCTCTGCATATCCAAGCAAGAAACCGGAAATGTGACCGTGCCTGAAAATCATTCCTTTGGTTGTCTATTAAGGTGAGGGCCAGCTTGTTCGATTTTACTGTACAACCAAAAGGCAGGTTTAGAACAGTAGGAAAAATTATGTTATAATACAGGCGATTCACAATTATAATGCGCCTCCAAAAGGTTGCAACAAGTTGACCCATCACAACGCCTGAAATCTGTCGATCCTTTCCAAACGCGCATTGTGTCGACAGACATTGTGTCGCATTGTGATCGGCCAACGCGTTGCAAACTCTTGGAGGCGCACTATGAATAGCCTGTATTATGCAGATTCAAAATCTGCAACTGTGACGAGCGAGAAACGTGCCAAATTTATGCAAAACATTGCCAACCGTTGTATACTGGAACTGATTAAAAGCTATAGGCCACAAACACGGCTTTCGTTGACGGACAAGAAATTTTCCAGTTCACCAATTCTACTTCAAACTTTTAGAAGGATATCAATAATTATGGGATTTCGAAATCAACAATGTGTAAACCTTGCGTACACAATACTTGTAAGTTTCACTTCATTTCAAAATGTTGTTGCGTCCCACTCGCCAAAAGACTGAAAGCACTTGCTTCTTGGACTTTTTCCCATTTAGTCCCGCCCGACTCAGTGACTCACATGCCCAACACCGCCTCGATTGTTCCGATAGAGGCAGGTGCGTTGGTCTTCTCGTTTCAGACAGTCATCGTAAACCTTCAGATGCTTCCTGACTTTGACGTCGAAGTCCTGAGCAGACCTGCCGCCGTAGATGTAAAAGTAATCCGAATACAACCTGAATTGGAAAAAAAAATGAGCTAACTGAGGACCGTTGTAATCCAGTCCACGACAATGTCATCAACTTGCAAGGTATTTATTAATTCATCTCTTTGGTTCTGATACTAAATGGCTTGAGTTTTTTTACACGTGGAGCGACATCTGAGCGAGTGTAGTGTGTTACACGAACCCACGTGCCGCAATGCACACGCTCCCCACCGTATCCTCGTGAAACTTCGTTGTGCAACGGTGTTAGCTTGTTTGAAGTGCGGTGAACTCAGTGAGGGCGCTATTTGATTTGGGTACAACCTTTTGAATTATTTCCAAATTTCCCACTTCAAATGTTGCCCTCCTCGTCCTATGACGTGCGCCATGCTTCGAAATTGCTAACAGGCGAATTCGTGGCGAAACAGGTGTATGCTTGGCGCCATGAGTGACCCTGGCACAGACATAATGTTTGTCTTGTTCCCCGTGTAGACCTTATGACAATAGTAATACAACTTCACACGTTGAACATAGGGAACAGACGATTTTTCCCTCAAGCCTCAGTGTAGTTATATTGCTTTGAGTGACAGAAGAGCAAGATGGCTGCCACCCCCCCGTCCATACCAGAGAGACCAGAAAACGAGCTCACGTACCTCTCGATCGGGTTACGTAACAGGAAGATGATCCTGGCGTTGGGGGTCAAAGCCCGGATGATGTCCGCCAACGTCACGGTGGGGTACTTCCCCCATCCTTTGCTATCAGACCAGTTTATGGTGAGATGGTTGTCCCACAGCGAACTTGTGGACCCGTCACCTGTTATTACCGTGATAATGATTTCTTTACACCGGGCTCATGATCAGAAAAATAACTCATAACTGTAAAGACTATGTGGAAATACCTGTAAATGGCACTGACAAATGGTTCTTCAGACGGTGAGTTCACTGCGGTAAAGTTGTCCTCTAGGCTCACAGGTTGCCTCCATGGGGTGTGGTGTACTTTTTCTCACCCTCCTAAGTCTCTGTGGCCTCTGGTTTGAACCCCACACAACACCGATGATCTAATTTCAGACAACAAATTGGAGTCCCCCTCTGATCTGATCGATTCCCCCCCCCCCAAAAAAAAAAAAAATCGCCGCTCGCCTCTACACGAGATCAAAACAACACAGTACATAAGAAAGTGAAGTTGAGAAAATCAACCTTTTCCCCCAACACTCGGGGCATCATATCTGCTTGCAATGTTACAAACTGTGTTTCCGATTTCAGAGCAACGTTCTACCTGTATTTTATTTTCAGCGGATATCCTTGGAGTGAATGCTACTGGTCTTTACCTGTGACATAGTTGCGGATGTTGGGATCTTTCCCCGTTTCGATGCATTCCTGAAAGTGGCTGAAGGATTTATCATACGGCTTAACTTGGAAAAAAGAGTGGAAGGAAAAGCACAATTAAAAACCAGTTCAAGATGAGACGGAGTGAGGTTTCTGAAACACTTGATATTAGTTTTTCGATTTGCTAATGTTTGCTTTCTACACGCTTTTGGAACGAGGGCAATTGCATCGACCACCTCCCGGTCTCGCATTTTGGCTCTTTTTTCAGGGGGAGGACATCCCTCGTTTTCTCCTTGGACCTTTCTTTGATTGAGTTTGAACTGCTAGCATCATCAGCCTCGTACTTACTCGAGTGCGCTACGTCTCGCGTCCACCAATGTGGCTCTTTGGGCGTGGTGAAGACCAGCGGGTGCAGCTCCATGGAGTACCAGAAGTCGGTGGAGCCGCTCTTGGCGCCCGTCAGGACGTGGAAATACGGCAGGCAGCGGGCACGGCCCGGAACCACCTTGCAGGGGTTGCGGTACTCGGGCGAAAAGGGCAGGTAGGTGCTGAAGAGCTGGAAACGGAAGAAACNTGTAGTTGACTACGTTTAGCTAGTCTCTTTTCAAGCAACTAATCCTGAGACGGCAAGTTGTCGATGTTAGCAGTCATCACGACAAAACAAAACGATATTACCAGTGTACTTTTGGGGGTAATTATTGATAACTTTGTCGAAGTTTAGGCACTATTGGAGTTTAGACACGGCTATGGAAAGAAAGTAAATACAAGAGAGACGTCTTCGTTGACTTTAAATGCAAATTCAGTGATGTATTCCCCCATGGAGAGAGGCAAAAGAACCGAGTCAAATATGGTCACTTCCAACACTCTTTTCAGCAACACCAATATCTTCCCTGTAACGGTCAATACTTCAAGATACGATTTTTCCCAGATGAGAATCTTACGAGCCTAGTTCTAAGATGAACAATCAAACAACTGTGAAGTACACTTTATGAAAGCTATGTACCTGATTATAATTGACGTGAATTTCGGATTCTAGTTGGCCTCATACCTCTCCTACGTTGTCAAACTGGCATTTTCCCGTGTCAAATGACCGGAAATGCATCACTCTACATGTATAACATAGACCGGGGCAGCATTCGTACCCGACAAATACGACTATGCTAAGGCCAACAATCCGGTTCGCAAGTGACTTCGTCACAGAGGTGGACGCGCTACGATTTGCAGCTCTCATCGGTCAACCGCTGAAGTTGCGCGCTAACTTCCGGTTCCATGTAAACGGTGATCAATGCATGCAGAGAAATATGGAAGGGCTGCGTAGCACCGTGATCAGAATATCGACAAGAATATGAGATTAAATCAGTGCTCTGAAATATGCGATTGCCGAGCTTTCGGTACATGAGTACCTTCTTCCGGGCAAGCAGATTCAGTTCAATGCATGCAACTCTGTGTGCAGTGCATGTGCGGTGGGCGTGTTTTAAACTGAAGTGACGTCACACTTACGAACCGGATAGAACTTGGATTTCAAGTTGGTCTGGCAGGGGGCTTGTAGAGTGTAAATAGAAAGAGGTAACCTACGTCAATGGGTCGCCATGCTATGAATTAGAAGGGGGAGTGGCAAACAATGTTTGTGGAACCTACGTGTGGGACGTAGTCCTTGATCTTCTTGAGCAGCTTCTCGTCGAGTTCCTCCACCTCGATGCTGGAGTTGTAAGTGTCCGGGGGACTCCGCTCATAAAACCCGGTCTTTTCATCGATATTCGCTCGCGGGTAGTCCTTCACCTCGTAACCGATCCGCTTAGCCTTCTCCGGGATGTGGCCCTGGATCACCACCGAGCAGGTGAATACTGACTTCTGGAAGGAAAAGTGCTTTGCTTGGGACTGTGCAAGCCCAACCGACTCCTTCCCAATGTCGATACTGTCTTCAGTGTGTAGTGTTACACTCCTGTTTTTGGGATATTGTTCAGATTCCCGGTTGATAGGTGTCGATTCCTGGTTATTCGACGTGGATTGTTTACTACTCAGTATCGATTGTTTGTGCGAGCAGGGCTGCGCGGGACAGTCACGAGGGTGTATTTCTAAATCCCGGGTGCCCGTTGGGGACTTCCTCTCGAAGTGTATCGACACCGACAGGCCGATGTAGCGGGCAAGAGCGACCAAGCACACGAGTTGTAAACCGAAACAGATCACGAGGTGCTTGCGGCGTAGCCGGGACTGCGTGACAAGTGGAAATGGAAGGACACGGTCAACTTGGAAATCAGTAAATTGGAAACAGTCGACTTGTCTTCCTTATCCACAAGCCAGATAAAAAAAAAATCAGCCTAAAATAAACAATCGCTTTCTGAACCACTAAGGCCTATAGACCCAAAAATCCGAGTGAGACAACACTAAATTATGAATGAAAAACAGTGTGCTCTATATGTACCACGGTTCTGTGTTTAAAGTTAGGACAAAGACTACTCAAGAATGAGAAAAATATCACCTTGACATTTTCACAAAGGTCAAATGAGTAGCAATTGCAGATCAAGAGTGATGACCTGCATGAATATGGTATCCCATAAAAGGTAAATAGGTCTTGCGTGTTGGGGGAGGATCGGGGCTGAAGAGCGGTTGAGGTTTGAGACACAAAATGGAAAAGTCATCTTCGCATTTCACCGCCATCATTCACACTTACAACTGCCATGTCGATGTCCCGTGCACCTCACCGAAAACGGGCCCTTGCCTTTCTCCCACAGGACCACACTTCCTGGATTGATGACCTAAAAAAAATGAGTGATGGAAAATTGGGAAATGTATAAAGAAAATGCTCAGTTGTCTTTCTCATACAACACGTGAAATTAGAGTTATGAAAGAGACAAAAAGTGAGCTCGACAAAACAGAGGGCTTGCGGTAACACCATGTGGAAAGATCTCTTTTGAAAGAGGTATGGTTCTGATAAGAACAGTGTGCTCCTAAGGACAGCCAGACCACACTGGCTGAACGTCGAATTTACACTGTTCTTATCAGAACCATACCTCTTCCAAAAGAGATCTATCCACATGCAAAACTTCAAGTCCTATAAAGCCAGACACTCAGGGAAGAAGACTACGAAATGGTCTCCTTCTCCAGGCTTTTCATACTGCCCGCTACGTTTGTATGGGCGGCCAAAGGTTGTTAAAGGTTTACTCTTAGTTGGCTGCAGGTTTGTCTTGAAATGCCCATATTCCTCCTTACGTTATATCACGAGAGTTTTTTTTTAACTATGCTGTTTCGATGTCTCAGTGAATATTTTGTTGACAATTGAGGAATTGCTTCCTTGCCGCGGTCCTGACGGTCATGCAGCCACAATCTGGAATCTATTGTGGGCAAAACAAAACCTCACCTCGACTGTGGCGTTCATCTATCAACGAATCGTGTATTTTATTAATTTGATTTTATATGCTTATACATGTGCGTGTTTTACATTTCAAATATTTGTGTGTCTTCAATTCTATCGTTTTTGTTGCAAACTCGAGAAGTAGAATTTCCTGCTGGCGTGATAAACAAAGTGAATTAATTTGAATTCAATTAAAATAACCAAATAAATAATAATAAAAATGATAATGGTAAAGGGGTCTATGTGTCCACCAAACCCGGATTGATGGGACATATCTACCAATTACCGGTCGTTTTGAATCATTTTGGTTGTTTTAACCGATCCGTTTCAGAATATACCATAGAAACAAAAGCGAGATTGCCTATGTACACCTAACAGCCCCCTTTTGTAAATCGCGCTAAAAGACGACTAAACACCTGTCATAATTTTGTCCCGTGCTTCGGTGTCTTTCTCTCGATCAGTTTCTGTATCCTATACGATACAGCAAACCTATTCCCTCTTCAATCTGTTGACATGCATTTTCATTAACGAAACGTTGGGATAGCGAATGCGTCCCCGCCTTGAAGAAAATACGCCCTTCATGTCAGTTTCTCCTTTTTGTCGTTTCGTTTTTTTTTCTTTTTTTTCTCGAGTAGTTTATTTTGATGGGGGGAAGGATACACAAAACACATTGGCTTCCTAGGGGCGTGTCCAGCCTCCAAGAAGAACTACTGACTACTGTCCGGACACTGCAATGTTCCTGCATAGTACTCAGAGGGAATCGGATGAAATCCGCCCATAACCTAGCAAAGGTTCAGCCCCACTTGCACCTCATAGATCGCCATCCTAACCCTGAAAACTGCTTCAGTTCTTACCGTTCATGGAAGAAATCAGTGGAGCAGCAACACGACTCGGTGTTTTGAGAACTCAGAAAAACTCAGGGAATCACACAACACATGACATGTCTTCTGATCTGCAAGGGCGACTCGTGGTGTTTTGTCAAGTAAAGGCCGACCTGTTGATCACACACCATTGGTGATGATTGTGGATGATCTGCACTTGTGATAGTCCACCGAGAAGACTCGCTCTTTGTGAAGGGTTACGTAACATTGAACAATGAGCAGGGTGAGGCTAGGCGCAGCCAAGCGTGAAAAGGGTAGGGTACAGTCTCCGCTCAAGTCGGAAACTCACTCCTTCGTGCAGGCTTGAGCGAATTTGAATCACAGCAACCCGCCAACGGGGCTGATGGCCACAATCTCTCCTGCCCTCAGCGCTTACTGTAGCTCACTGAACGCGAGGCATGATCTTGGCAAATGTTGTCGACAACTTTTGGACACGAGAGAGGAAAATGCGTAGAGCCTCATTTTCTTCAACTCTCTCTGCATCTGCTTCGCTTAAATGTGACCAAGGCGCCGGCCTTGCGCTCTTTGCTCAAAAGACAGCGTGTTTGAAGACTGCATTTCGTACTCCAAAATATCTGTTCTAACCAGAAAGTGGATACACTAGTGATTAAGAGGGTTTTCTACAGACAAACAGGCGAAAAAAAATCGGTACAGCCTGAGCAAAAATGGTGTTAAAATTTGTGTCCCTGAACATTTTCAGTAAGCTGCTAACTTTTCGGCCGCCAAGGTAATTGTTTCAACCAGAAGGGTTAGGGGTAGTGATAATAAACTGGGCGTATCTAATAAATCGTTGCACGTGCGGTTTTTGTAGGAAGGTTGGGGCCAATAATGGGTGGACGAACTTCTAACTTCAGCATAACAGACAACAAGATTCCTGCCTCGGCCAATTCCACAGCAGCACAGTCAGAAGAGCGCTTGACTCGTAAGCGGCAAGGTAAGGGTTCGAGTCTCCATGTCTGCAATGGTATTTTTGTTCTCTTCGGAGATTAGTTGGTAAGAGGATGTGTTATAATAGAAAAGCAAAGCCCGAAACTGACCTTCTAACTTAAGTTTCAAAGTGTCCACTAAATTGATTGAACGAATTGATGATCCACACCCATATATGATAATTGCCCATGACCCTCCTAGGAAGACAAAATACGCCGGCCACCATGTCCTTAACGCGCATGCGTGCATAAACGAGACTTTATTAGTAAAAGGTGAGTATATCAAAGAATATAGGGGTGCACCCTCGTATTTAGGCCAGAAATATGTCCGCCAAGCTCATTAATAAAAGTTATACACTCAAAAAATTCTATATTAGAGGGTCCTGAGAGCTATGGAACTGAGGAATTGAAGAAATATGAGACTGAACCTCTGGGCCGGACTCGGGGCGTCCAATTCTGAGCAATTTGGATGCAATCGGGTCCGAAAGTGGCACTATTTGAGCCATTTTGCCGAGGGAGGGTTTTCAAAATGGCTAC